ATTGAAAGGCAGATCAAGGATCATAGATTTATAGAACTTACATATAACCACCTTAGTGGTTCTGCCAAAAGGAAAATATTAAAAGTATAAAATACAGAGCCCAATGCTAGAAGTACAAACAACAGTTCACTGGAGTTTGCCAGGCATACCAATTGTGGCAGTAGCAATTCTCAATACTTTTGCCATTATCGAGGTTTTTAATCCAGACCCAGAAGGCCTTAACCCATTCTTGTTTTCCTTTACATTAATTCTATCACCTACACTTGCTGGCTCCTTTTTAGACACCTTACATATTATAGAGGAAAAACCAAAGGATTACAACATCTAAACTTGCCGAAACCGGTTTGGCTCAATGAATAGAGCTTCAGCCTGTGGACTGAAGGGTTCCGGGTTCGATTCTGGTCAAGGATATGTACGGTACCTTGGTTGCAGGCACATCTCCAGTAGGGGCCATGCAGGAGGCAGCTGATCAATGTTTCTAACTCTTTATCCCTCTCACTTCCTCTCTGTAAAAAAAAATCAATAAAATATATTTTTTTAAAAGAATAATCTCTCACTTCCTGCCATCCAGTAATTGGTTAATATATAATAATGATTAATAGATTGTGTCCACAATACCCTCCCCAGTCCTAGCCTCATGTTTGATTTTTGTAGCAAGTAGTCAAAGTCCCCTCACCATATTCTCAGGGAACCAGACCCGGAGACAAGTACTGAGGTACAAGGCAGGGACCAAGCCCAGGTAGGGATTTCAACATTGACCGCAACAAAGGAGCTTACTATTGACTCAGCCTAGAAGCTTTTATAGTTATGTAAGATAAGCGAGTCTTCAGTAAGCCTAAGGACCCCTCTTTTTATCACCAGGACTCCCCTCTCTCTGTCCACTCTGGGAATCATGACATGGTTGCTCTCACAGGTCAACATCATGTATGGAGTGTGTCATAGTCATCAGTGAGTTCTCCCCCACCAAGTGGAGAGAACCCCTGGTCTGAACGGAGAGCCTTTGGGAGGTGGCCCCCTCCAATGGCTTTGATGTGGGCACCTGTTCCACATAGCACAAAATGACAGCTTTATTAGTAGTCTTATAAAGCATTTTAAAGCATTAATGAGTGGTGAATCTATGCTTCCCCAGTTTTTCTGCCATGAACATACTTGAACTCCTTGGCGTTTGGCTCTCTGACATTGAAGGTATGTTATGAGCTACTTTTGAAGCTTTGTTCACCCTCACCCTTTTCTCAGTCTCAACTCTACATATTTTCCCAACTTCCTCATTCCACTTGAAACTTTTGAATAGGCTCTCGAAGGGAACTACTTCGTCTTTGTTTACTGCCGCCATGGTTTTCTTTTTCTCTTCTTTTTTTTTTAATATGTCTTATTGATTTTTTACAGAGAGGAAGGGAGAGAGATAGAGAGTTAGAAACATTGATGAGAGGGAGTCATCGATCAGCTGCCTCTTGCACACCCCCTACTGGGGATATGCCCGCAACCAAGGTACATGCCCTTGACCGGAATCGAACCCATGACCCTTCAGTCCGCAGACCAATGCTCTATCCACTGAGCCAAACCGGTTTCGGCTGCCGCCATGGTTTTCATATGCAGCTAGATAACAGTTGGGCAGCAGGCCCAGAAAACATGTATAAGGTGATGGAAGTGAGGAAGATTCTGGAGGGAAACGGGACTGGTGGGTTTTCTGGTGCATTGGACCATGTGAAAGATTATTATGGAGTGGCTGTGAATAAATGACATCCCCAAAGCAAATGGAAAAAGTGAATTGTTAACTTCAGGAAAAGCAAAAGATTTGCAAGAAAGGAAATGTAATCATATCACACAATTTGGCTTAACAGAAAACAATGTTTTTAAGGACATAATGTAAACTCTTAATTACAAATTTATCAAAAAAGGTGATAATATTATATTAAGAGATTATAGAGAAGTAAAGTATATGGTAAAAGAATTAAGTATAAGTGCTAAGTCCTTAATAGACATACTAGGAATTCATAAACATCTAACACTGAGAAATCAAGAAAGAGCAATATAAGCATATTTGGTAGAAATGTAAATTTGCTATCAAAATAAACAGATAAATGTTGAAAATGGTGGGGGCGTGGTGAACATATTTGTGAAAATACTGGGGTAAAGGAGGTGAAGATAAATTTTTGTTTTTTTTTATGATAAGCCTTTAAGTACTATTTGACTCTGATAACTATTTGCATGTAATACTTTAATAAAAATAAATTTTAACTTTAAAAAATATGTGAACCTTTGAAAGGCTATGAAGAGACAATTCACAGAAAAAGAACTTCTTTAAAATAAGAGAAATGCAAATTAAAGCTATATTGAAGTACTGTTTCTCATCAACCAAACTGGGGAAAAATCCAAATTTGAAGCCATCCTCTTTTGGCAAGACTGTGGGGAGTATAAAATGATAGAACTGGGCAATAGCCACTAAGAGTGCAGATGCATTTCTCGTTGATTCAGCAAACCCTCCTCTAGAAACGTACCCCAGTCACTCTCGCGTGCCAGTGAAATGACATGTGTCTAAGGTTATTCATTACAACACTGTTTGTAAAAGCAAGGGATTGAAAACAACCCAAACACCTGTCAGTAGGTGACGGATTAAATAAATTATGGTTCCATCACTTAGAAGAACATATTTATGTTCTTAATGAATAAAGCTTTATTTAAACACACACACACACACACACACACACACACACACATAATTTTACAAGCAGCTTCCAGGCCCACCTCAGCTCCGAGGGCTGTCAGTGCCTCTCAGTCAAAGCAAACGCTCTGCCCTTTCAAAGGAGGAGCATAAAGGGAACTTGGCCCTCGAGCCCTTTCAAAATCTTAGAAACAAAGCAAACGGGCAGTGAGGCAATGTCAGAGTTAGCGTGGGTCCAGGTTCAGATCCCTCTTGGCACTTTGTTAACTGAGACGCTCAGGCCTTGGTTCCTCGTCTGTACATGAGGGCGACATTCCCTTCCTCCCAGGGTCCTTGTGGGACTGTAGGGGGCACCGGGGCCTGGCCTGCAATGAATGCTCAACAGCAGAAGTTGTTGTTAATAGTAGAACCAGCAAAAGGAGTCCTGTCTCCAGGATTAATGTGTTCAGGAGAACAGGACAACCATCTTGGAAATACCAAAGTCAGAATCAAGGCACTGCTATGAAGAAAAGAGTAGAAGGAATTTCCCTTCATGACCAGGCAGCTTTGGAAGAGAATCTCCAATCACAGGCAGAAGTGTGTGCCATGTGGGCACCTCCAGCTTCTCCTTGCCTCCACCTCCTCAGGGGACTGGCAGAGTCTCTTCTTCCCTAAGCAGCCTACACAGCAGGATGGGGAGGACTGAGCACACACACACCCTTTGTTTAGGATGAGAATCCCAAGGATCAGAGAAGCCACCGATGTACTCGAGAGCACACAGCCAGCAGTCCTGTGCCACAGCCGGCAGGAACCGCCAATCGGGTATACATTTTATGATAGCGTTTTCCAGCGATTCAAAAGAGAAAGAAACATTCTAAAAGTGAGTCCTGGGGCCACAGAGCTAAGCTCGCTTTCATTCACTTCGCAACGGGGTTGTGATCCATGTGAAAGCATGTGGTCAATATTGGTGGAGTAAGTGATGTGTTTATCATGTCAACCCATCGTTACCGCTGGGCCTATGCTTTACTTTTTATAGGCTTCCTGTGGAATGAAGCCCAAAACTTAGTAGCAGTTTGTGCTGGAGTAAAAACAAGTATTTCCAGAACGTGCCCAACCCTGCTCCAACAACGACCAGACATGTAATAACCGGGTTGCCATTTCCTCCTCGGTAAAAGGGCACATCAGCCGCCTTCATGGTGCTGCTGCAAAAATAAAATCAGGTAGCTGTGGGTCTGGCACTTAGCAAGCACCACTTCCCACAAGCCCAGCCCTCCTCTTGCCTTGTCTGCAGATGGGGTTTAATCAGTTCCACAACAACCTCCTCACCCTGTTCTTTGAATTCCAACGAAAAATATTCTCTTAAGCATCTCAAAAAAAATTTTTTTAAAGAAAGCACTTTGATGATATGTACAAAGGTAAATGGTTTTTCATTTCCTCAGCCAGAAACAAGAGTGAAGGACAATCTCTTTGAGAATATTTATAAGGCTATTTCTTTTTCAAATCCCCCAAATAGCTCTTCATCCATATTTCCTTGGGGGACCAGTTCCCACCATGACTACATTAATCTGGATCCAACTGGATCCACTGGGTTCCTGATTCTCCCCCATTCCTACCCTAGGCATCTGCTGATGGTAGCCACTCAATAATTGGTTCTTAGTTTCACCAAGCAGAAGGAGGTGACAAATCTCCACAGTTACAGTGAGCATCTACTATATACTAGGCGTGTGTGTCTCAGATTATCACAACAATCCCATCCTGCAGACAACAAAACAGAAACTTGGAGCAGTGAGTGACTTGCATGAAGTCCCACGGTCAGGAAGGGGCAGAGTGGCATGCAGCCCAGGCCTCCGACTTGGTTGTAAGTAGGAGCCTCTCTCTCCTAAAGCACCTTTGCAACAGCTCTCCCTTCCCACCTACCCCCTCAGCACACACAGAAATCCCTGATTTTCAGCCAGTCATTTGAAAACTGCACAAGAGGGGCCCTATCCTTTTCTCTACCTCCATTGGTGAAAAATACAACATCATGTTTCCAACATACTCGTCAGACCAAAGGGGGGCGGGAAATCCCCATGACTTCGGTAATTTTCCATCCTTTGGAACAAGGACATATCACACAGAAGGTTTACCAAAATAGATAAACATTGCTTTTAAGTAACACTAATCTCTTTTAACATGGCTTACGTTCTAAAAATCTAAGGTTGGATGGCTTTCGTTCTTGTATCTTGACTAGACACACAAGGCTACATAGATAGACAAGCCATAAATTCAACAGCCAGCTCGTTAGACTGGGCTCTCGCATGGACACAGAGATTCCTGATAACTTGCGCCCCAACGTGACCCCGGCCTGAGGCGGGCTGACCTGAAATAGTTGCTGGCCGCAGCAAGCACCACGCGGTGGCAGGAGAATTCCTGGATGTCCACGCACAAGATGACATCTGTCAGAGCATTCTCCACTCGGAGGGTCTCCAGGCCATTCTGCAGAATCAAGGAGAGTCCCGTGTCGTCAAATTTTGCCTTATCACCGTTTAAGATTTCCACCAGGTCTCCCCTTTTCTGGGAGGGTTCGTCCGCAGGAGGTGCCAGTGGCTCTTCCAAACTCTTCTCCACCACGTCGCCCATAGCCCAGATGCCCCTTTGTCCTGCCATCAACATCCAGACTGGAGAAGCGCCCAAGTTTCAGGCAGGTCACATTGCAGAAGCTGAGCGGATTTCCTGTGTAAGGGCCCTGCACTTATCACCAGCTGTCACACACGCATAACAGGAAGTCTCGCACTTTCTCATCCTGTTACTACAAACGCCAAGAATGTCTATTCTTCTTCTTTCTGTGGATATTCACAGGGAGGGTGGGCGTTACTTAGAACGGGGTGTGTAGGAAGGGGCTCCGGGAGGGAAGGGGTGGCTTCTTGGAGTCAGCTATTAGTGTGGTGCAGCTATTTTGGTCCATCTCCCCCCTCATATCCGTAAGCAGGAAGCCTCTGGTTCTGGTTATTACATCTGTGCTCCTGGTGCTTCTGTAACTGAAGCTGTCCATGAGGAGATGGGTAGGGGGCGCTCTGCAGTTCTCCACCCCCCCATCCTCCCAGGAGTCTAAGACCCCACAGAGTCTCTTGGGAACCTTGGAAAACATGCTTTTCGCTGGCATTCTCATTCCTATCAGGCACTGCACATCTTCAGTCTTTGCTTTCCTCAGGGGAAAACAATGTCATGGCAAATATTAACATTCCCCACCCCCCTTTCCAAAATGTCTGTAGTTTCAGATAAACCAGGCAGAGGAGTCGTCTCCGGAAACTCCATCCCCAGGGTCTTCTCTCACAGAAGACCAATCAGGATAAGTCTTCGGATTGCCTTAGCAATCAGCCTGATCTTACACAGCATCGATTGGTCATGCATCTAGTAGTGAATCATGACGCATTTCCATGACCTCTGCAGGTCTCCATTGAATAGTAATACTATCTTTTATTACTCAACTTCCACTGTATCCTAGGACAGCTTTAGAAGGTAGTATGCTTTAATCTTTGAAACAACCCACTGAGGGTAGATAGGACTTTCCTCATTTTACAGCTAAGGAAACTGAAGCTCTGCTCCAGGGAATGGCAGGGCCCTGTTTCATTGGGCTCCAAGGCCACTCTTTTCTCAATGGCAGGGCTCTGTTTCATTGGGCTCAAGGCCACCTTCAGGCTCTCAGAGCTGCAACATCATGTTGACCCTAACTCCTGAGTCTCCCGCGGAGAGAACTGTAAGGCCTGCCTGCCATGGCTGCACTCTCCTGGGGCCTTGCCAAAGTGGCCTTTTAGTCTCACTCCTGCTCTCACTCACCTTCTAGATGTGGGGAGCACTACCAGGCCTCCTGATCCACAGGAGTTCGATCCTCTCACTGTCCTGCTCCAGGAGTCCTGATTGTGCCTCAGCCCTTCTCTCCCATACATAGTTACTCTTAAAATCAGGATCTTTGGCCCTACCTGGTTTGGCTCAGTGGATAGAGCATCAGTCTGCGAACTAAAGGGTCCCAGGTTCAGTTCAGGTCAAGGGCACATGTCCAAGATTTGGGCTCAATCCCTAGGAAGGGGCATGAAGGAGGCAACAGATCGATGATTCTCTCTCATCACTGGTGTTTTCATCTCTCTCTCCCTCTTCCTTCCTCTCTAAAATCAATAAAAATATTTTTAAAGACACACATTCCCATTATCCTATCTAATAAAAAAAAGTAATATGCAAATTGATGGTACTTCCACTACACCCACAAGCCATGCCCACCAACCAATCAGGAACAAATATGTAAATAAATTTAACCAAGATGACTACAGCTACAGAGAGCTGGTGGGAGGCTTGGGTTTTCCTGGCAATGGAGGAGCCAAGCTTTCCCCTGCCCTTGCCAGCCCAGGCCTCTACTCAATGCTACAAAGTTTCAATGATAGAAGATAAATAAATTCAAAAAAAAAAAAAAAATGGTGACGGCCACGGAGCTGGAGAGAGCAGGAGGCAAGGGGTGTTCCTGGTGATGGAGAAAGCCAAACTTTCCATTTGCCCTGGCCTGCCTTGGCCTCCACTTAAGGCTGCAAAGTTTCAATTATAGAAGATACATAAGTCCCAACAGAAATGGCTGCTGGCCACCATGGAGCAAGCAGGAGGCTTGGCTCCACTCCAAGCTACAAAGTTTCAATTGTAGAAGATAAATAAACCCAAGATACCAGGGTCGCCAGAGGGCATGGCTGGCCTGCAAACCACCACAGGGCCCTCACCCAGGCCACCCCACCCCCCAAGGGAACCTTCACCCTGATCCAGGACACCCTTCAGGGCAAACCAGCTGGCCCCCACCCATGCATCAGGCCTCTATCCTATCTAATAAAAGGGTAATATGCAAATTGACCATCACTTCAACATACAAGATGACTGCCCCCATGTGGTCAAAGTTCCATCACAGTCGGGATTTATCTCTTTCCACCAACCTAGCAATGTCCAGTCAGCTCTGGCTACTGCTCTTTGCTGCACACCATGATGCTCAAGGGGCTAATTCATCCCTGACATAGGACTTCACGAAGCCAGCTAGACCATTGCCTGCCTTTCTAGTCACAATTTCAGTAACGCCAAAGCATCACTAGCTGCCCCTGCAGTGCCTCTGAGCCTCTGCCTGCCACATTTGCCAAGGCACTTTGCCCTAAGCACCACCATTGCCTCTCTCCCAGAGAAGCAGAGGAACCCCCTTTTCCTTTTCCGATGCTAGTAGAAAGGTCAAAGGGGCTCATCTTGACATCCTTTATTTTCTGCTTCTCAGAATCTTTGAGTTGCTGCTCTTCCACACCCCCATATGGGGACTATCACCCCCCATATGGAATTAACACATTGTATGGGAGCCATCTACTGCCCTATACAAGCCAAACCAGGCCTCTATTCTCCTACACAGAAACCTCTCTTTCCTGCTTCACAGTCTGTGAATAAGGGGGCAGTGAGAGATACTTCTGAAAGATTTATAAAATAATTCAGGAAAGTGGCTGGATACAAGATAAAAATATTAATAAATGTTTCCCAGTATACCAACAATAGTCAGTTAAAAATGTAATGGAGCCGAAACCATTTTGGCTCAGTGGATAGAGTGTCAGCCTGCGGACTGAAAGGTCCCGGGTTCAATTCCAGTCAACCTGGGTTGCAGGCACATCCCCAGTAGGGGGTGTGCAAGAGGCAGCTGATTAATGATTCTCTCTCATCGATGTTTCTAACTCTTTATCCCTCTTCTTTCCTCTCTGTAAAAAATCAATAAAATATATGTTTTTTTTAAAATGTAATGGAAAAATAATGCTATTCACGATGAGGCTATGCCTAGGAATAGCCTCAACAAGGAATGTAAGATAAAACTAACAAACTTTACTAAGAGATTTAAAAGAAAAATTAAATAAATATGCCAAATGGGAATATGCCAAATGGAAACAAAAGAACAAAACCTCTACTGTGACACACTTTCTCTCCATCCCAGACTATCATCAGTCTTTCACCAAATATATTTAAAATAAAGTGTAGTATACATTACATGCACGAGTTAAGCTGTATGGTGTTTATAAGGGTGTGTGTGCCTTATAATAATTCTTTAAGCTATAGATTTTTATTTGTCATTCCCTATATCTATGCTTTCACACAATGGCACTAGTGCCATGAAACTTTTCCTGACAACCCAGCTGTATATTCTCTCGTTTCCCTATATTCTCACCTTTCTTTTCTTTTCTTTTTTTAAGTTTGCATATATTTCTTTTTTTTAATATATTTTATTGATTTTCCATAGAGAGGAAGAGAGAGGGATAGAGAGCCAGAAACATCGATGAGAGAGAAACATCGATCAGCTGCCTCCCGCAACCAAGGCACACGCCCTTGACCAGAACCGAACCCAGGACCCCTCAGTCCACAGGCCAACGCACCATCCACTGAGCCAAACTGGCTTTGGCATTCTCACCTTTAAGGCATGAATAAATATTTCTGATGGTGAAGCTGATTTCTTTTTAGATTATAAACTTCTTTAGAGAAGAAAGTTACCTCCTATGTGCAGGGTAGCCAACCATCCTGGTTTGCCCAGATTGGGGGGTTTCCCGGGATGCTGAACTTTCTGGGCTACAACTAGTATTCAGACAATTTGGCCACCCTATTTCATGTCCTCCATGTGCCAAACCCCTTGCCTATCATGGTTTTAAATAACATTTGCCCAATTAGTGTTAGAAAAGAGAGATTAGTAACAATGTCCTTTGATGGGAAGGAATAGTCTTGTCTTTCCCTCATCTCATTCCCACTCCATCTTTTCACACCTACATTTCCATTTCTTGAGTGAGTACTTACTCAGCATCCTCTGAGTTAAATTCTGTGTATATTGGGGGCTATGAACAGGTCACATGTTGACATTTGTGGTTTCAACCCTCGCAGTTCTGGAAGAACCCATGAATGTTTTCATGTTTCTGCATGTTTTCGGGCTTTCTGAGCAAAGAGCACTGGCACACTTGGCTAAAGGGAGATTTTTAAAAAATGCCTCAGAAGTCAGGGGTAGTATATTGCTCCACTGATATTTAGGAGCTTACCTCTCCGTGAAGCTATTTGCTTGCATTGCATGGTAATAAAGGAAAAGTAGAGATTAGAGATTGTCCACTCCTTTCCCTAGAAAGGATTTGTTTACATTCCAGAATAAAGGTGTGCCTCTCTCTTTCACTCTCTTAAAAAAAAATCAATAGAAAAAATATCCTTGAATGAGGATTTTTAAAAGGAGCACATGCTGATCTAAGTGGGGAGGCCAAACACCAAAATCTGAGTGCAGGGCCAAATCGAGGCCACCCATTTCATTAGTTAATGCAGAGGCTATTAATTTTAAAAGATGTGTGTCAAGGCCTTGTTTTCCTAATAAATTCCACATACAACACACTAATTTTCAGTCCACATAACAAAAGGCTTGTTATATATGGGTTATAGTTTTTCAAAACTTTCTATTTGGGGCCAGCTAGCCTGGTCCCTGAGCATCCCCTGGAGTGTCCTCTACAGATCTGGATTTAAGGGAAGCCAGGTGTTCCCAGATCTCCACCAGATGGTTCTGAGCAATCACTCTCTGAAATAATGTCCACAAAACAGGGAGTCAAAATTTGGAAGTGCCTTCTGGGAGGCAGCCAACCAAACCTGATGCAAGCCCT